TCCCCCCGATTTCCCCCCCCCCCCCCCCCCCCAATTGAGCCCATGACCTAAGCACTGAGCCACACCCGCCAGGGCTTGACTGGTATCTTTTTTTTTTTAAATATGTATTTTTATTGATTTCAGAGAGAGAAAGGGAGAGAGAGGGAGGGAGAGAGGTAGAAACATCAATGATGAGAGAGAATCCTTGATTGGTTGCTTCCTGCACAGCTTACTGGGGATTGAGCCCACAACCTGGGCATGTGCCCTGACAGGGAATCAAACCAGTGACCTCCTGGTCATGCTCAACCACTGAGCGGCCGCGGCTGGGCTTGACAGGTGTGGTGTGTGTGTGTGTGTGTGTGTGTGTGTGTGTGTGCGCGCAAGGAAGAGGACATGTGGACACACACAGGCATCTGGGCTGCATGGGCTACAGAGGAAAGACCATGTGAGCACACAGGGAAGAAGCAGCCACTTTCAAGCTAAGCAGAGAGGCCTTGAAATGGTCGGAGAAACCAACCTTGCCCGCTCCTTCATCTTGGACTTCAGCTTCCAGGATGTGCGAACATGATGTCGGTTGCTCATGTCACCCGGTCTGCAATAGCCGGCTATGGCAGCCCAGAGGACGCACGCAGGAGCTCGGTGTCTTAGCTTGTACCTCCGGCTCGCTATCCTGCTCGCTCTTTGTCTAAACCACCCCTGGGTCCTGTGGCTGCCCTGCTCCAGAGACAGAGCTGGGTCCCTCGCACCCGTCCCGCACCGGCCAGGTGCCCACGGTTCCTCTTAATTCGGCTCTAGCTGCCTGGCCTCCCGGCCCTGGGCTCCCCAGGCGGCATGGCGAGGGCGAGGCGGGGTTCTACGGGCCCTCAAATCTCTGCCTCCGGGATCTGCTGCCCTCGCGCTCCAGCCCTTCCGCGGACGTTCCTAGGCTACGAGGTCTCCGGTCTGCGGAGAAAGCGCGCGGTCCCGGCAGCTCCAGGTCTGGGAATCGGAGGTGCCTGGACCCCGCGTGCGGAGGCTGAGACCGCGCGGCATAGGCGGTGGGGGGACGAAC